GGGCCATATCTCTCAGATACTGCGTATCTAATTTCTTCCTAATAGAGTAATCTAAACCTCCTGCTGCCATTTCGACCAACTCATGTTCAGACACCTGTGTAAAACACCTTGCCTTAAGTAGTCGAAACCTATTGAGGTATTCTTCGATTGGCTCTGAAAACTTACGCTTTACACTGGCCAACTCTTTCAAACTAATCTCCGTCTGGCCCATGTAAAATTGTTCATGGAAGAGTCGTTCTAACTGCGTCCAGTTACATATTGTACTTGGTGGTAAAGTGGTAAACCACGTGAAGGCGTTCTTTGTAAGAGAACTTGGGAAGTATTTTATCCTAAGGCTTTCGTCATTGACTATCTCCCCAGCCTCAATTATGTAGCGTGCTACGTGTTCGACGGTGGACTCCGTCGTGTCCCCTGAAAACTTAGTGAACTTAGGCACCTTGGTCCTAGGGGGTAATTCCGCTCGAAGGATGTAGTCGACTATTGGTGAAGTATAATTTGGCCTAGTAAACCCAGTGTTCAGGCCATTTCGAGTCATGATTTTTTCTACCATCGTAGCCAAGTTGTTTTCGACCGCGAGGTTGTTGTGTCGTACTTGCTGGACCACATTGCCTGCATCCTGGTTTCGATTCACCATAACTATTTATGGGTTTCTCTTGACCTGGACTCTGGGAGTCTCGACAACATAAGGGTCTATTCCTCCTTGGTTCTCTAAATTGGCTTCTGGCGCCACTCTTGGAATTTGTTGTGGAGTATTCTCCACAGGGGCTTGGTTCCTTTCTAACGGAGGTACCCTTATAAATTCAGTCAAGCGTGTTAACTGTGTCGCCAGTTGTTGGTTAGCGTGAGTTGTGTCTTGAATTAATGGCTGAAAGATCTCACCCATAGTCTAGGAGAGGGTTTGAACCATCTGTAAGTTACTCTCATCCATCTGCTGCCTCAAACAGGCAACGGACGTATTGGTTAGATTGGGACCTTGAGTCGAATATCCTAGACTTAAACTCTAAGGGTTTCGACCAATGTTTGAACCAGGTCCTGATCCTTGCAAAGGTGACGCCATTGTGTTTTCAGAAAATATTGAGGGCGCATTTTGCAGCCCCTGCATTACAGTCGTTGACATCCCATACGGGGGATTCCTTGGCAACTGTGAAAGACCCAAAGGGGCAAACTGCCTTGACACTGATGGTCCTACTATTGGAGTTTGGGGATTCGACATTGGTGGCCCAATATACTCCAATACGGGTTGTGTGTAAGGCCTAACTATCGTTGTCCCAGATCCTACTGGGGCGAAGGTTTGTTCTGACCTTATGGGAGGCGCTACTTGTTCTCCTGTCGATGGTATAGGCGGTGGGACCATGTTGTTACTGGTTCCTTCGCCAGAACCTTCGGCTTGTGGGTTAGGATTGTTTGACTGGTTCGTTTCCGTCGCCATATTCCTAAGGATTGTTCGTCTTTCTTTGTTAGCAGCGGTAATTCTACCACTTCTTAGTAACATATAATGTACTTTCTACGAAGATTATGAAGACTTGTAAATGAAAAACTTTTAATTCTAAATCGCGGGGATATTTAGCATTGTCCTACCGGGTGTGCCATTTTGTTTCCCTTGAAAATCGGAAAACAACCGCTGATCTTCCAAATTTGACTTTGTTGACTCACAGGATCGATCAGATTGATCCTAGGACATGTGCTAAAGTATTCTACGTTTAGAATTAGATTTAAAGTACTTGTAATAACGAATTGGTAAATGTGCTTGTAATGAAAAAGACTTCGACTGGGTTTTTTAAAGTGCATAAACTTAAAGAAACACTGTAAAAGATTTGTAAAAGGCTGATCGAAGAAGGTAAAAAGTTTAAAGGAAAAGAAGGAATTGGAATAAAGGATGCAGGAAAGGTAAAGGCAAAAAAGGTAACACTTGCACAAGTGGTTCGACAGAGGAAATGTAAATGTTGCTGAAATTGTAAAAGACTTTATTTAAAAGTTGGTGATTTTACATAACGTACATTCTCCGTGAAAATACTCTTTTCTCACACTCGGGTACTTTGAGTAAATTTGATTGGAGTTACTTTGTACAAATGGTAAAACACACAGAAATTTGTCTAACAAATCCCTATTTATAATGCTAATAATTAACTGTTAATAACTTCCTAGTATCTCCTCGATCTAACAAGTGTCAATTGCATGTAACTTCCTGCTCTAGAACTCGCCACGTGTCTTATGAACAGAACCGCTCCCTCCAAATTTTGAATTTCAAAACGACGTAGCAATCCTCCTGCAGAATTTCGGTCGAACTACCTCTGACACGGTCAAAATGCTCATAACTTTAGGTTTCTTAATTTTTCTAAGTTATTTCAACCGTTTAGCTTAGAAGATTCCTTAGAGGCTGTCGAAACCTCTTTGCTTCATTTTACTTAGACATTAATTATGTCTTAATGTTTAGCAACCCAAGGCAGTGTCGAATTTGGGAGCTAACACCACGCACATCAGAATGCACCACACCCAAAGCATACTTTTCTCTTGGAGGCATTTCAGATGCAAATTGCAATCTTGGTTGTTTCCATCTTATGCACACATTGCATGACTTCTCTGCCTTCTTAATTGCAGGAATTCCATGTACCAACTTTTTTAAGTTCAGATGCCCTAAGCTTTTGAAGTTCAAATGACCAAATCTTTTGTGCTACAACTCACTTTCCTTCATAACACTTGTTGCACTAAGGCATTTATAGTCTGTAGATTTAACATTCACTTTGAATGTTTTATTCCTTCCTTATTATGACTGCATAATGAACTTCTTATTACAGTCATACAACTTCAAAATATTGTCCTTCATGGTAACTGAAAATCTTGTCTCAATTAATTAACCTACACTCATCAGATTGTTTTCCATACCATAAACATACCACACATTCTGAATCAATGCAATTTTACCATTATCTAGAACTACTCTGACATTTCTCATTCCTTCAGCATTCAGATACTTATCATCAACACATTTGATCTTGGTCCTCTTACCAGAGTCAAACTCAACTAGCCATTTCTTATTTTTAGTAAGGTGATTTGAACAACCTGTGTCCATGTACCATCAATCTTCCAAAGACGCGCTATCAGAATCATAAGCCATCAATAGCACAGGTTCATCGTCAAAATCTTCTCCGCCTATGTTTGCTTCTTATTTCCTTTCCTTGTTTGACCAACAGTCGGCAGCGAAGTGGTCAAACTTCTTACAACAGTAGCATTGAACATTCCTCTTGTCATACTTTTCCTTCCCGTTCTGAACTCTCTTCTGCCTTTCAAATGTTGAGGTTTCTGACTTCTGAACACCATCAGATTTCTTCCTGACTTCTGATCAAGACTATTTCTGATACTTCTTACCATAAGCTACTTTCAGAGCCTACTGCTCTACCTCTCTTTTAGAGTTTCTCTCAGTCAGACGCGACTCTTGTGCCTCTAGACTACTTTGAAACTCTTCAATTCTCATGGTGCTAAGATCCTTAGAACGTTCAATTGTTACCACAATGTAATCTAACTGAGGAGTAAAAGATCTAAGTACCTTCTCAATTATCCTTTTCTTCATAGAGAGTTTCTCCACACAACTTCATCTCATTTGTGATCAGAATCACTCTGGACATGCAGTCAGGTACCTTCTCATTATTTTTCGTGCTGAGATTCTCATACTACTTACGTAGAGGCTGAAGCTTCAGCTTCTGCACCGATACATCACCGGAGTAACACCATACCAGTATGTCCCACACAACCTTCGTTGTCGTCAAATCAACAATTTTCTCAAACACGTTCGCATCTACACACTGATGGATATAAAACAACGTCTTCTAATCATTCTTCTTCAAATCACACTGAGCATTCATCTGCATATCTGTTGCATTTGCCAAGAGTGAAATCGGAATGTAACTGTTGTTGACGAGAAGAAGAACATCTTGAGCACCAAACAACACACACATCTAAATCATCGATCAATTCTAGTTCTTGTCATCCAACACTGGAAGCTTAGTACTCAGATTATCGTTTCCGTTCATCTTCAATCTTGTGCAATTCACTCAGATCTCACCAAACACTAGTGTTTTTCAATCCCACAAAATCATGAAATGTTATTATATTACAATTTCGATCAAAAATTCAACACAAATTTAAGAAACAAAATCAATCACACAATGTCTCGCCGTACACTCATGTTTCCCGGTGTTTCCCTGCAAATCCAAATCGAAGCACTAAATAATAATTGTTGGTGCACAAGATGAAAAAGATGAAAAATAAAAGAAAATAGAGGAGAATAACAATCTTCCATTACTCTTACAAAACGGTTACGATGAATGATTACACCACTACTTGCTGCTATTGACAGCTACACTTGATTATATACACAAACAATAATACAACGTAGGTAAAATGCTAACCTATACTTTCTAAATTAAACTTACCAAAAATCGATATGAATTACTTTTAACAATATTATCTGTAAATAAAATCAAACAATATCAATTGGTTCACCCATATTTTAAGTAGTGTGCTTCTAACGTTCTTAACCTCTATAAGAAACATTAAATATGCTGCTATGTTAAACGTGATAATTCATAAAATTGTAACAGCTCAAAAACCTCGCTCTTATAAAAGTGGTTGCCCTAAACAACTTTCTTATAGGGAACATTTTTCATGTTTCAATTCAGGCTTCCTAAAAACATTTGTCTGCTGAGTGCCAACAAATTACGGGATAATCCTCTAACCAACAAATTCCCAGGAGAAAAAACAACAGTCAAACGTTTCTGGGATTCAAAGCTCTAGCATTTGTAGGTTTAAAGTCCATTACAATGTACAAGTTACAACAGATACCTAACTGGACCATTGCATTTACAAAAGTTGCACCAAACACAAGAAATATCAGGTGCATGTATAATACAACAAAAAGGCATTCACAATATTGGCCATGACAAAGTTAACAATAATCTATATAGACGATGGTTCAGCAGGAAAAGTGAAAAACGAGTGGTGAATCAATTTTTCCCTGTTTTTAAGACCCTATCAAAAATTGGGTTCTCTACTAATTCTCTGGCAGACGGCCTCTTTACTGGATCACGATCAATCATGGCCTGAATGAATATCAAATCAAAACATCAGATAGATCATATAATCAAGCATATTGGCCGAACAAAAGGGAGCACAAAACCTCACACAAACTTTGAAGTCTTTAAAATTTATGTTCATAAGTACAAGAAAATGTGTGATAAAGATGAATGTTCATAAATATGTGAAAATATGCATTGTAGAAGTACCATATCTTACTAATCCGTGTTACTGCAAAAAAAAAATCCTTTGTGCAAATTATGAACTTTAAATGTGATAGTTGGTTGACTCAGTCAATAAATTCACAGCATTTTGTATAAAAAAACTGTTTTTGAGGTTGTAGTACAACATGATTATCTTTCACCAAATCATAGCACAAATGTAAAACTACAGTAGTAGGTTGGTTACAAATATTAACAATGATCAAAACAACATATAGAGACAACAGAGTCATAGTTCATTTTTATAAATATCTGTCTAGCTTGTTAAGTAGCTCCTACAAGGCTACAAACCACACACTGGATGTCATAGTCGTGCAAACTGCATTATGCGGCGTCACATTAGCTAACATGCAAACAGTGAGAGAGTGGAGAAAAAACATGAAGAGACAATATTCTAATCATTCATAAAATGAAACGCAGGCCTCATGCAATTTCAGGGAAGTAAACAATGTGTGGTACCTTGAGCAAGTTTTGAAATTGCATTGTATTGCTAGGAAGGAGTGACAGCTTGCCCTCTTTTAGATTTGAAAAATGACATCGTGATTCTGGCAAAGGTGATTTTCGAACGAGCTCATAAATAGAAGCTCCCAGCGAGAAAATATCAACCTTGTCAAGGTGATCATATTTCTCATTGAGGATTTCCTGGGGCATATAACGGGCATCTCCTTCTTCAATTGGAAGGCTATTATCAATAAGAGTTGCACATCCAAAATCTCCAAGCTTATAAATACCATTTTTAACATAAATATTATCAGGCTTAACGTCAAGATGAACTATTCCCTTCTCGTGTATAAATCGCAGTGCATTGGCAACCTGTTCAAATTTTCACATCAATCAATCAAAACAAACAATGTATGAACAAAGAATACAAGTTCAACAAATTATGTAAAAATATATGCATCAGAGTCACACCAGGAAGTTCACCTGATATAAAACTTCTAAGAGTTGTCCTTCTGATAATAACTCAGAGCCTTTGAATTTGGATAAGCTATGATCACATATATCCATCTGAATGTACAACTGTTCACTTTCAAACCATGAAGAATAATACCCCACAATGTTCTCATGAGAACCTATAGGACAAGAACAAAATGAAATTAAGAAAAACAAATTTATGTACAAAAAACAAAAGAGAGGGCCATAAAATACAAACCCAAGGCTGCCAAAGCTTGAACTTCCATCAAAGCTTTTTTCCTTCAGTTACACAAAATTAGTGTTAGTGGCTAAACTCTAGCAGAGAAGAGACATCCATAGTATGAACATGACATAATACCTTTCTGTTTCCAGGTGTAACTGTCTAGTGCTGCGTTTCACAGCATACAGGCAGCCATCTATTCGCTTTAATACTTTAAAGACACAACTAAAGTTCCCTCTACCAATTTGCTGATAAGGATGTAAAAGTTATACCATGAAGTTGAGTGAAAGGAAGGAAATACTAATTTGAAACAATGATTAGGCTGAAAATCATGGTACCTCAAGCTCTTCAAAATCAGTGTGATAGCGTGACAGACCCTCATTAGCTGTAAATTTAGGGAAGAACCCTACACTTATACCAATATACAGTTAAAAAATTAAAATAGCAATGAATAAAATTTCAACAGAAATCATGCTAGTTAAAATGACTTTTCCACTATTCAATGAAAGGATTATTAAAGGATTGACTAGAATAATACCTGCGCATTTGGATCTTTGGTTTGCAAAGGGATCTATCTCCTTTTGTGCAACATCTTTTAAATAGGGGTTCCTATAGCAAGGAGGAGGCATAGCCCTGCAACGCAATGCAGCTGCTGAGTGTGACACATAATTCTGGGGATTTGGTTTACCAGCTACCATTAATTTATCAAGAGAAACTTCATCTGCAAGAGATACTTCCTCTGCAACAGAGTCCTTATCAAGTTCCACATCTTGTTGATGGTCATTAAAAATGGTAGGGCTAAGAGACTTTCCATAGACATCATCTATAACAATGACAAGTACGCATATGGATTAGAAAAAATGAGTAAATAAAATGTAGGCATTGAGAAATATGAAGAAAAAAATAGCAATAATTGTTTCCGTGTGGTGGGAAGTGGGACCTCTATAGAAGCAGTCAATGTAGTATAAGAATGACGGAAGGAAGAGTGATAAAGAATAACACAGACTATAACTACACTCTACAATGCTCTTACACTTTCACCTGATATGTAGAAACCTTTATTCAAAAACTCCATAGAGTACAGATAACCCATAACAACTCCCACCCTCCCGTTAGATACGTGTAATCTAGAGATCTTACATAAAAAGGATATCGATATTGTTTTGTGGCAATTGCCTACAAACGATAGAAATTGTGTTCATGCAATCGAAAATTGGAGAATTACACAGAAACTACAGATATCAGGTATTCTAAAAATGCCATTATGTAAAATTTGGAGGTGAATGGAGTATAGAATAACCACATGCTTTCAGAGTATTTATCACATATATTTGTCCATCCTATTTCTGAATGTGTTGTGAGACATGTGTTCACTATCTCCACTACAATCTCTCCCACTATAAACTCCCTAAAGAATTACCTAATTTGCAAAAGTATACTTCTTCCATTCAATCCATACAAATTCGCACTCCGTACATAAAGTGTATCACAAACATTGAGCATCAAATTGTGCAGCTAAAAACAATCTCATTTCCATAAACTTGATAAGAATATCACTAAGTAGTATTTTTTTTAGGTTAACCCTATGGTTCTCATGGAAAAGAGACTCTCACAATCCAAAATTTAGCTAGAATGTAAGAAACACTTAATCAAAAATTGTTCTATCCAGGATTCAAATTCCAATTCTCCCAAACAAAATCAGAGAAAAAACATACCAAGCCTACATCTCTTGTTTCTTGTCGTCAATTTCTCCGGCGATTTAGGGCAAGGACTATTATCCTACAGAACAAATTACAAATAGAAATCAATTTTAATTCATCAATACTAAATGGAATCAGTATCAATTAACTAACACACCAACCTTATTGAATGTCAAACAGTTAAAAATCCGTTGATTCTCCGGAGTTAAATAATCTGGAGAACTGAACACCAAAAATGAAACACATGCATAAAAAATCTCGAATCAGAACAACGCAATCGAAGATAATAAAAACCTATAAAGTGTTGTGTTACCAAAATAAATCTTGACTGAGAATACAATCTCTTGAATCCGTTTCGGCAGCTTCGTCAGTATCCCTTACGCAAATGGTAGGGCTATCGTTGGCCTCGGCTTCGATCATGCTCCGGAGACGAGAAAAGGCGGTAGAAGGACAAGCTGTTGTTGGTAAAGGTTTGTACTGATTAAGAGAGAATTTGCTGAAATGAAGCTGCAACGTGTTTCTGCCATTAGATAGCTTTTTTCTTCCCCTAACTTTCGTAGGTTTTGGGGTTTTTCCCTTCATTTTCGAATTCGAATTATTGAATCTGCGATTCGATATTCGATGAAGACGAAAATGAAGATGATGGTGGTGTTAAATCTTCTGCTTCAGTCAGTAATATTATATATTGAATAAATGGATGGAAATAGAAATAAAATATAAATAAATTGTTTTGTGCAAATGTATTTGAAAAATGCGCGGTTAATTTTCAATTTCGGGTTGGGATTAGATGTAGGGAAGTTTGGTTAATCGTGACCGTTTATTTGTTTTCTTTTCGGAAGCGATTATTTGTTTTTTCTTTCTAATTTTTTTTTAAGTAATGCGTGCTGTGTAAGCTTATTCTTTTTTTCATTTGCAAATTGATTAATTTTATGAAAAATGAAGTGCGGTATGATGTGTGAACTGTGAAGCATGGTGGTGGGCAGTAAAGAGTTTTAGTTTTGGACTTTTGGCATATCATGTCCGGATTCATTTGTCCATTGCATCACAACTTTTATAATCCCATTTATCTAATAATTTTTAGTAGTATTTTTTTGAGTGCCCTTAATTTAATTTAATTTATTATTTTGTTTTGGTCTATTAATTAAAAAATATTATATATTAGTTTCTTAAATAATGTTTTCTTACCTAAAATAATCATTTCTGTTAAATTTAAAATTTAAAAAAAAAACGTTAAAATTGATTATTTGACAATGTTGATGCAATTTTATTTTTTAACATAATTTTTTTAATTCTATTTTTTTTAAATAGTAAACAACGTCATTTATTAGATAACAAAGAGAATCTACAAGGATACTGAAAGACATCGTGTTAGAGTATTTTTGATGCACATTCTAAAAATCAACAATAATAACTAAGTCAATTAAGATTTGGACATTAACAAGCATTGAGAAGTTAGAAATCAATAGAGTATTACCCATCCAATTCCTTAATTCAAACAACCAAGTGAGTTTCTTTCAAAATGAGAAAGTGAGTTTATGAGTCACAATCTTTAAATCTATCAAGTTACAGATCATTTATTTAGCTTTGAATCGCATAGTTTGATTATACAGGCTCGCGGGTATGATTGAACTCACCATCTATGGAAGAATCTTTATTAAATGGAAAGAGAGTCTGATTTGCAATAACCACGGTTAGATTCTTGCTCATCAACATGTTTTCTTCATCCAAACTTCTTTGGGCATTTCATCAAACACGTTCAGAGCAAACTTAAAACAACTTAAAAATAAAAACAACAACACACAAAACAGAGACAAAACAGAAAATAAAACAATAACTATAACAAAATCACAAACATAATATCTCAAAAAATTTGGATCTTCTGGTGGCGGAGGCTCTAGAGAAAGTCGTTTTCCATGTTTGTGCTATTTTGGCCCATTTGTTGTTGAAAGATCTCAGAGGTTGTTGGAAGAGAGGATTGAAACCATGATGGAGGTTGGAGTTAGAGTGAGGCAAAGATCCATCAGAGATGAATGGTTCAACAGGATGGGAAGGAGATGAGAAAACCCCATAATGGGGGAGAAAACTCCATAGACAAGAGGAGAGCCCCCATGCCGGAGGAGAGAAGCATTGTTACCAGAGGAGAAACCCCTACAAGAGGGGAGACAACACCCATCCTGTTGCGGTGAGAATAGGATATCAAATTATTAATTAATTTGAATCACATCTTTAGTTCACAATCGGTCTTTGATTTATCCGAAGGAAAAGTTAAAGAAAGGAAAAACCTATCTTGCATCGTAAACAATGCGGTGAGAGATCTAGGTAAGGGGTTGGTTAAGCTTAGGGAAGGTATTAGCATTCTAAATTTTTGTAGTGCTCTATAGAAACCTTTTGTTTAATACTACTATTTTGCTTTAATTATCTGCTTGAGGGTATATGTGCTAAGGGTTAAAAGTGAAAGAAAGGCCTAAGGGTTAGTCCTAAGTTTACTCGCCAAGATTCGCATCGTGTGTCTACGTATCCGAGGTAGGGGATGGAATCAGAGTAATCGTAGTTCCCCTCGAAAGGGAGATTAGAAACTTCTTGATCGTGGTCAAGGTTTCAACGGGGAATAAGCGTTCTTAAGGAAGCGCTTACGTGGAGTGCGGCGACTCCTATTTCTACGTTGAAAATAGTTGAATTAAAATTAGGGTTAACTAGGTATTCCACGGCGGGAAACCCTAAAACGGAGTGCGGTGCCTCCTTGACCTAATGTTAGGGTAAAGGGTAATTCGGTCCACGGCGGGATGCCTAGGCAATTAGGGTTGAAATGGGTCAAAGGAGAGGACTATTGACTCGGCGGTCAAACAGCTAAACCTAATCCTTCGGAGGGGAATTAACGGTGAACAAAATAATGAAAATATGGGAAATGTACGAAAATAGTAAAGGAAATGCACAACAACGATATACTCACATAAATTACAACCCAAAGAAGATAAAAATGCGATGACAGAATAAAAGCGACGATATACTCGCATAGATTACAACCATAAACTGAAACGGAAACAAAATATTACAAATTGCACAACTGAGGAAACGATAACTATAGACAAAATTAATGGGACAAAGTCGGAGCTCAAGTTAGGCGACAGTGTTATTCGAACCTGGAACTGAAAATGCTCAACAAATCGTTAAGAAAAGGATTTAATATTTGTGAAAGAATTTACAAAAGTAATTTTTCAAATTCAAATTTGTTAGGAATTTATATTTACAAAAAAGGTGGGTTTACTTTAAAAGATCCCTAAAAATGGTTTTTATTCTAAAGGAAGAAATAGTTCTATTTTTAAAAATGAGTTTTTAAGTATTGAATTAAAAAAAGAGTTCTAATTTTAATTTTTAAGAAAATGATTTTAATTTTAATGCTTTTAAAAAATGTTTTTAAAAAAAAGGTTTAACATAAGCATGGTTTTAATTAAAAATGGTTTAATTCTTAATGTTTTAATTAAATGGAAAGATGGTTTTTCTTAATGTTTAAAAGCTTTAATTAACCAAAATGAACTAAGTTAAAACATGGCTAAATGACAAATTAATATATATATATATATATATATATATATATATATATATATATATATATATATATATATATATATATATATATATATATATATATATATATATATATATATATATATATATATATATATATATATATATTTATATTATAAAACAAAAAGAAAAAGAAAAAACAATGAAATAAAGGGGGAATGGGGCGTGTTGCTTGGCTGAACATTTTAGGATTTTCATTGTCTCTTCTTCTTCTTGGACGGCGCTGTCTCCATTGATGGGCTGTCGAAGCTTTCGTCCCTTTGTCTGGCTCCTTTGCATGTTCTCTGTTCTTCTTGTTTTCATTATGCTTCATCTTCTTACTCTGTTTTCCTGAAAAACAATACAGCAAATTACTATGATATCTTTAATCTTTACCAATTGGTGATAGCCAATGAAGATTATTTCTGAGACTTGGCTGTGGGTTTTTTTGTGACGGTGATGTTGCGTTTGTGGCCGGTGATGAAGCTTCTTCTGAGGTCGGTGGGTTCTTTTAACGTCTTCTGATGTTGATGGTGAAGTTTGATGATCTTTTTCTCCTTCTTGGTGACGCCTCCGATCCCTTTTTTTGATTTTGTGATGATGAATCATTTTATATTGATATTCATATGGGCCTGGATATTGTTATGATTTTCCTGCTGAGTTTGTTTGCCTGGATTCACGAGATTATGGTTTCACGGTCGCGAATTCGTCGGTGGTTGACTCGTTTGGTTGTTTACTAGTTCTTCTGATGCATTTGTTATTATTTGTTTTCACGGGAGTTTGTTGTTGGCTCGAAATTATTGTTGAAATGTGGAAAAGTTGTTGTTGCATGTGATTTGATCCGTTTTGTGGCATGATTTTTGGGAAAAATTGTTTGTTGCGAAATCCATGGCTGAAACTTTGGCTTTTTCGTCGCTTGCAGCTTTTTCAGGGATTCTTGTCGCATATGGCTTAATCCGTTGGGTTCAGAATCTCTTGGAAAATTGCGTTTGTGACGTGTTTGGCCGAAATCCATTTTTCACATAAAAAAGCACTTTTTTAAAAATCACTTTTTCGCGAATCATTTTTAAAATCACTTTTTCTCTCTCCTGGCTGGATTTAGAACAGATGCTTCTGGTCTGATGCTGAGCTCGAAAAATAAGTCGGGAGCTGGCGGCGGAATATTCTGTTACCCTCCCGACGTACCCGATGATGACAATTAACTGAGGGTATTGGAGCCGGAAAAATCCATTTTAACTCCTTTTATTATGTTCATCTATTAAATTGTTTTGCAGATTCGGGAAATCGAAACTTTGAAGAAATCGGATTCGAAGACGGCTTTAGGAAAAATAGGACCTTGTAGGAATTTAGGAATTTATTTTTGTAATTACTATTTTTGTAACACTGTAATATTGTAAAGAATAGCATTTAATAAACTCAATTTTTGAATTCCTTCTTGTACTTTGTAAGAAATATAGAATTTAATGAATAAATTCCAATTTTCAACAAACCGACTTCAATTCTCAATTCGACGTCTCCAATTAAATTTCCCAACAATTCATCCGCTTAAGCTTAACCGAATAAATTCACTTAATTAAATTGGTCCGACTAAATGTGACGTTCCAACTCCGAATTTGACCATTAAACCATCTTACACGATTTAAACCCGACATAACTGCTGAGCTCAAAACCTCTTGCAAATCAATTCGTACCCGATAATAAAGTCCGTGAATATGACCTTGGTTTGAATAAGTAAAAATCGAAGAATCGAACGCGAAGACCAACTTAGAAACATTAGAAACTTTAGTACTTAGGAATAAAATGTGTAAATTGTAATTTTCTTTTGTAATATTGTACCAAAATATAGAATTTAAATGAATAAATTCAAGTTATTCCTCCAATCACATTTCTCCGATTAAAATCTCAAAATAATTCATCCGATTAAACTCAAACGAATAAATTCATTTGACTAAATTTATTAGATTAAATTCACAAGATAATCCGTCCGATTAAGATCAACCAAATAAATCCATCTAATT